TGTCGAGCTTGTTCTTGTCGCAGTTGACATGACATGTGCGCGCAGCATCTGCACTTGCTGTGGTCGCGGCTCTTGCAGCGGTTCTTGCTCGTGTGTGACGCAGGTGCCATTGCTGCCATTGCTCGCCGTGCAGCATCGCGCCGAGGATGTGTTCATTTTGCCGGTTCGGTTGGGTTAGGACACCGGCCCTCTCTCCAAGCCATACCTCTTCTTGCCTGTACATCCAATCAGCCCGGCTTGTGCCAGGGTAGGGGTGTGGTGCCTGGCTGGTGTGGTTGGCAGTAGTCTCTGCAGGACTTTACTCGTTTCCCGCCCACCCACCCTGATTGCTGAGCAGCTGGGGATCAAGGAGGCCTTTTGGCTCTTGATCTGATCGCCGACCCCACTTTTGAGCACACAATCGGCGCGCCCAAGTTCTTGCGAAGGGGTTATAAGGGGTTGGTTTGGTGTACAGTCTAGAGTGTAGAGTGTAGAGGTCTTGAAGACTTGTTGGTTCCGCCTGCCCGTCCAAGAGTACGTGATGTCCCTGCTAGCCTGGGGACCCCCTGCTTGCTGTTGATGCACACAATCCCTTGTGTGTCCTTAGTGCGTGGCGCTTGCAAGCTCTTGCCAAGATCAGCAAGCTTGGGCTGTGACACTTGCTGAGCTTTGGAGTCTCGGCATGAACATGCTTTCTGCCTTCTTTGCTCTCTGTGTCGGTCATGCGCCGATGGGCTTCTGCCTGCAAGGCTGATTATGTGCAAGTGCAAGACTTCAAGATCGGGGCTGTGCGTGTGACGGCTGGAGCTGAGACCTTCTATAGTCTTCGACATTGCCGTGCTGCTGGCTCAGGCGTGAACTATCCGATCTTCAATGTCCGACTTCAGGAGCCCAGTGTGGCTGATGCGGAGAGAGCTCGTCTGGGAAGGACGTGTCGTTGACACTATAGACATCGTTGATGTTGCTCTCGTGTCGGAGCGCGTCGCACCACTGTCGCTGACAGTCTGGAGATGAGACGGGCGTTGCGTGACAGTGAAGAATCTTTCCATACACTGGCAGACGGAGGTTGTGATTTCGAAAAGACCGGTTCATACTTGTGGCTTTAGTTGCTTGTGTCGACAGCTGCCAATTTACTTGCCGCGCATGCAGAAGCGGCTAGGCCCGCCTGCCGGTAGCTTGACCGCGTTACTGCTGCTCGCACGGCCTCCTGACGCAGGCACCTGGAGTCCGCGATTGAAGCATCATTCCACTAATGCATGGGCTTGGACCCTGCACTGTCAGCCAAGAATGGGTGTACTCGGGTGCCAAGATCATCTGCGGGGTGCCGTAAGCTCAGGGCTGTGGGCTTGGTCGGTGCCTGCATGATCCTGCATGTGTCTCCACGATGATCGCGAAAGGGTGGATTGGGTTGACGGCCAGCGCGTGCCAATTACCATAAGCAGCACACGAACCGCACACCGTTTGCCACGGATCAGTGTGCAGCTTTGCTTGGCTGCCAGTGTCGGAATGCTTGTGCGCACATGCCACTCTACTGACTCTACTGGCGCATGCAGCGAACTCACAGGTGTTTAGTGAGCTTGTTTGCGTGCGGCGTCAATATCTCAGCCTCCCACCGCTTCTTATAGTGTCTCTATATATATATGGCGCCTGCCCTGCGGCCTGGGCTGTGTTGGCATGGGCTTGTGCCTGGTGTAGCCTAATGTGGCTTTTTCGGGGGATGAGCCAGCAGCAGGATGCCCTGCCGCCTGGCGGAGTGTGCGTTGCGACCATTCAAAAGGTGTGCGTCTGTGTCGGGTGTACCGGCTTGGGTTGGGCTTGGCAGTACACCCGTTTCTCTCTGTGCCTTTTGTCACTGGCCCGTACTGTGACATAAACCCTCTCTATCTGCGCACATACCTTTTGCGTGTACAGTTGCAGCAGAGCTCTAGAGAAGTGTTGGTCGTGGGTCGACCTTGTGGTCACTTCTGCTGCTGAAGTGTTCCGATCTTGAGTTTCAAAAAGTTCCCACCCGCCCGCCCAGGGGAAGTGGACTGCCGTCCCTCTCTTGCGGTGCGGTGTGTGTTTGCTTCTGCACTTGAGCAGTACAGTCCCAGCAAAAAAGATGTAGTGCGCAGGGCTTGAGTAGGTTGTGTTGCGCTAGATTGAGAGGCACATGTAGCTTGTACATTATATCATTATATATCGTATAGCTTGTGCATGCAGTGCAGTGCAGCTCTGCAAGCATTGTTCAGTTGCTGTGCAACTTCCCCAGTTGTTCCATTGTGGGTGCTGGGCCACTTTTTGTCGCCCCGCCCGCCCGCCCGCCCGGATCGAAGGACTCTGCTGCCCAGCATTTTCGCAAAGCCAAAAAGGAGGGCCTGCGGCTTGCATTCCTTTGATAAGCTACATAAGAGCATGAGAGGCGTGTGTTTGGTTGCCTTAACATAATGTGTGTTCTGTGTTGAACTGGTTTGTTCTTCAGTTCGCCCGCCTCCCCGTCCTGTACGGGCTGCCGCCACATATGCATGGCGTGGGCACTATGGAGAGATTGTATTTTGGCGCATGAGCCAGTGTGTGTGTGTGTGTGTGTGTGTGTGTGTGTGTGTGTGTGTGTGTGTGTGTGTGTGTTTGTGTTCGTGTGTCCCCGTATCGTGACGCTCAGGAGGTTGTGCGCCGCAAGACGGCGGCGTGCAGCTTCAGGGTCCAGTTACCGTCGGACATTCGGTCTGTGAGAACGAGTTGTGTAGCAAGTGTGCATGTTGTGCGTGGTGAATGCTATGGCTGCTATGGCCGCAGTGGTGAAGCCTTGCCTTCTGTTGTCCTTGATGCTGCCTGCAGCTGCGCAGCGTTTCGCTTCCTTCGATGCAGCTACAGCCTCGAGCATCTACTCTTCCAAGACCTTCGGAGCCGAGCTTGCAACCACGGAGTCTTCGGGGTATTGGTGCAGCGCGGGGAACCACGAGCCGGGCCAGACCGTGTCCTGGACTGGCACCTTCAGATCACGGAGACAGCTACTTGGCCTCACTTTGCGATGGAGCTATGCTCCAGGAGAGATCAAGGTACTCACTAGCGCAGACGGTGGCAACTTTCAGGAGAGTGTCGGCTGGAGCAAGCTATCAAGATCGGAGCCCAGCTTCGAGGACACTGTCTTGTTCCCGGAGCCAGTGACTGCGAAAGCTGTCAAAGTGCTAATGCGTGGCGCAAAGCCTTGGGGATACTTCGGGCTGTCCAATGCAGTTGCGATGTCGGGGCCATCCGCTTACATGCTCGTGAGCGGTGCTCCAGCAGCCCAAGAGCAATGCCTTGTCGCAGCTGGCGGTGGTGTGGAAGCAAAGCCCTGCGTCGATGCCATTGTGGCTGGCACAGGTGCCGAGGTGTTCTCCAGCAGTGTGGAAGGGCAACTACAGACGTTGGGCGGAAGTTGCTTGGGAGTTGTGGCCGGCAAGGTGTCTTTGGTGGAATGCCGAGAAGGGCAAGGAAGTTGGGTAGTCAGCCAGGACGGGCAAGTCAAGCAAGGCAACACTTGCTTGGTGGTGGCTGGATCGAAGGTTGCAGCCGCTGACTGCGATGATGCCTCCAGCACAGGTGGCGACAAGTTCTTCCAGGTGGCAGTTCCAGAGCATGACCCTGCGGCTGTGCTTGCGGTGCAGGAGGTGGGAATGCTGTTGCGTGCTAGCGTGGCAAGGCAGCGAAGTTTGGTGGAGTCCCTGCAGCATCTCGCTCCAAAGCTTGGGTCTTGCAGGCCTGTGAGCCTGGTCGCAAGCAAGACTTGGCCAGCCTTCGTGCAGTTCGGCACAGTCGGGTCATCTGCTGGGCGTGCAGCGCTCGACGAGTCGCTGCCGGTCAAGGTCGCTGACACGTTTGGTCCTGGCAGGGCAGCGCTCGCGTCAGTGCTTGCGGCGTCTTCGGACACCCTCAAGCTTGTTGCTTCCAAGGTCTAGTCCTGCTGGGTTCCAGTCATCCCCTGCAACTCGAAGCAAGTGCCCGCGTGCAGAGCACCAGCTTCAGCTGCAATGTGCCCCAGGAGGCTGCGGCAATGATGCTGCGTCAGTAGGCTAAGTAGATTACGAGATTGAGACGACGTTGCTTGAGAGTTCAAATCCTTGCTCTGCCAGCCTTCTTGCGCAAGCCGGCCAAGACGTGTGGAGAGCTGGTTCAACTGCTGCGGGGGTTGCTACTGCTATCTGCCAGTAGTGCCGACGTAAGCCGTGTCGGGTGTAGCGGTTCGGCTGGGTTTGGCAATGCGCCCGTCTCTCACATGTACATGCAGTGCTGTACAGTTGTGTTGATGCCAGCATTGCCAGCAGTGCTTGGATGTTGTGTATCGGTGTTGAGTGCGCAGCTCCGGTGCTGGCACAATTGCTGTGCTATAGTGTTCTTGATTTTCCCACCCGCCCGCCCGGGGAAGAGTTCCTGCTGCCAGGGATGGCAGTCATGTCCGACCAATTGAGTGCTTCCGGGCTGCGGGCAGTGACAGAGAGTTGCTCCTCGCCTCCATTGGCGCGGGGGCTTCCATTTGGCACTACAATGCAGGCGGCAACTTTAACAGCGATCATGCTCGACACAAGTGTGCGTGTGGTGGCACCCACCCCAGCAGGCCTCACCTCGCGTGGTCATGTACGCATTTCCAGGCGATGCGGGCCGACATTCAGCCCCCGGCTCATGGCCACCCCCTCGTAAAGGTACTGTTGAGGGGGGGTTACTCTGAGTGGTACCTATTTCCGGGGTTTATGCCTACTTCCACTTGTTGACGTCGCTTTATTGCCCGCTGTCCTGACTGAAAGCAAAACCTACTAAGCCTGTGCGTGCTTGTGGTTTTGCGTCGGCAGCTGCGTGCTGTGTTGTGTCGCACTGATGTGATTGCCGTGCTGCACGTGTCCATCATGCATGATGATGCGTGTTGATGCATGTCCAGGCCAGCAGGTGTTAGAGAATGCTCTAGCGGTTGCCTGTGTGGCTGAACACTTGGTGTCTTCTTGTTTTGCCCCGCCCGCCCGCCCTTGAAGTGGTGGGGGGTGGTGTGTACCTTCCCTCATTCTGAAATGGACAACCCGTGCCGAGCATGGGCGGTCCGATAGATCATTTTCCGTCCGCGCTGCCCCAACTTAACCAGTCTTGCGACTGAGAGGAAAATGAAGAGACCGCGTGCATTTGCTGCAGTGCATTAGTCGTCTGAGTGCTGCTGGCGTTCAGTCCGAGACAGTTGCAATAATTTGGGAGAGTGGGGGGGTGCCGATAAAAATAGGTACCGGGGCCTACTGGGACAGTGGGAGTCGTTGAGCTGTCGTCGCCCATCGTAACTAGTCTTATCCATGTGGAAAAAGTCCTCCGAGTACACCCCGACCCCCCTTTCCTCAAGCCACCGTCGTAATAGGTACCGGTACCTATTTCCGACCCCCCCTCTCGCTCCCCCACACCCCCCCCCCCGCGAGGGGGTGGCCATCCCGGCTCACACTGCTCAGGAGCGACTCTTCGCCAGAGGTGGGGTGTTACCCGGCAGCTCCGCCGGTCATCGACCTTCAGGATTTCAAGGAGCACCTCGTGAAGCTCCTCGGCGCCGTCGCGGACGAGCAGGACCTCTTCGTAGCCACGGACGGCTCCAGGAAGGATGGCGTGGGCTCCTCGGGCATTGCTGTTCAGCATCCTGACTCGGTATAGCTGCTTTCGGCGATGGGCTGGAGGATCAGAGCCCGTACAGGATGGAGGTTCTCGCGCTTGCGTTGGCCCTCGAGGCGATTGACATTGCACGGCGGGCTCCCAATGGTACGGTGGCGTCGGGTCTACCTCGTCGTCGACTGCCAGGAGGCGATTCGGGCGATCCAGGGCGAGCAGGGCTTCGACTACGCTCTCCTGCTCGACACGATTCGGCGTTACATCAAGAAGTTTCGCGACGGCAAGTTGGAAGTCGAGTTTGTCTGGACACCGTCCCATGGCAAACAGCCCACCTGGGCACCTCATGGTGGCCTGTGCGAAGCGCAGCTCCGTGCTCTCAATGAGGCTGCGGACAAAGCGGCACAGGCATCGATGGAACGACGTTGGACGGGCTCTCACCGGCATGCCTATGCACAACGAGCACGTCAACCATCGCCAAGGCCTACCGAGACTACTTGCACACCCTGGGCACACCATCGGGTGAACCTTGATGACTGGCTGTCATTGGTCGGTGTTGTGGGTTTACTTCTCGCTCCTGGACGACCTCATGGCTTGTTATGCTTGGTGTCGTGGCGCGGTCCTTCGGTGACTTCGGCACGACCTACATCTTGTTCTGCCTCTTCGGCGTGAGCTCATCTGAGTCTGCTTGTACATTGCACAGCTTGGGCTTCAGGTTTGCATTGGTTTTGTGTTCCACTCTAGTGGCACTGATAAGTTGAACCGAGCTTTGTTGGACCTTCTGGCCAACTTTGACAGACCTACGTCCGAACAATGAAAAAGGGGAGACCGCCACTTCGTGCACTGCATAAGAACGTGTGAGGTATTGATCCGTTTTGTAGGTTCGTTTCTCTGTTGCAGCTCTATAGCATTTGCAGCCCGTCTCATTTCCAGGTCAGGTGTGGCCTTGTCACTGGCCCGTACTGTGACATAAACCCTTACATCCCTTACGATCTAGCCAGCTCATCTTGCGCGTGCAGGTGCAGCAGAGAGAAGTGTTGGTTGTGGGTCGACCTGGAGGTCAACTGCTGCTGGAGTGTTCCGATGTTGTATATCAAAAAGTTGTGTTTTGCACGCGCGGCTTGAGTTCTTTCGTGCCCCGCCCAGTCCGCCCAACGACACGCTCTGAGGGGAGTGTTAGCAGCATTCGCCCGTGCTTTGATGTGCGGGTTGCGATTCTGGAATATGTGTATGCCATTGTGTGTTAGCGTTCGCCCGTGCTTTGATGTGCGGGTTGCGATTCTGGCATATGTGAGTGTATGCAGTGTATGCCATTGTGTGAATGTGCTGCAGCATATGTTATGCTGCATCATGCTACCATGTATTCCCATTCGGGAAGAAAAGGAGTGCTCTTGCGTTGCTGTGCATTTGATGTTTTGCGGTAGTTTAATCCTGTCCGACTGACATGTCCCGCAGGGGAGGCGAGGCAATTGCGTGGTTGATGTTGCTGGGGACGGCGACTTCGGCAACCCCGTGGCGTTTGGGCTGCTGCGCGCTTTGGCTGATGGCGGCCTCCGGCGAACTGAGTGAGTTGCTGCCTCGACTTCATCTGAGGCCCTGGTGCCATAGCAGCTTTGTTGACCGTGCAGTTCACCACCTTGGTGATGTGCAGTGTGGCTTTCCACGTATGTGCCAATAGTTGCACATTCGCTCTTCTTCAACTCAGACTTGATGGGCTCTGCGGACCACCTTTGGGCGCAGAGTTCGAACCGAAGTCGTTGCTGGGGGAAAAGCGAGCCCGTGTGGCATTACTCTGGAAGTCCCGCCAGCGAACAAGGCCTATATCTCTCCTGAACGCAGTCTGGCGAGCGGGCACCCGAGTGCTCCAAGCACAACTTGCTCCATGGATCGACTCGTGGTCTGATCACCGGTCGGTTGGAGGACTTCCACATAACTCCGTGCAGTCAGCCTTGCAGCGCATCCGACAGGCTTTCGACGAAGGGGCCACTTGCTTTGCCCAAACTGACGTCGCCTCATATTTCGACTCCATACGGATGCCTGTGCTTCAATGTGTTTTGCGCCATATGAGGTTTCCTCAGGCCATCCTCCGAGTGCTCGAGGCTTTCTATGATGGGGCTCAACGTGTCTTCTCGTTGTCTGGAGCCCTTAGCGATTCCTGGGCTCGGGTGGACTGTGGCCTGGCACAGGGATGTCCCCTATCACCGGTCCTGGCTGCTGTCTTGTCGCATGTCTGGGCCGTCTATGTGACCAGTGATGCCCAGGGTCAGCCCGCCGAGGCCTTAGCGTACGTTGACGACCGCAGCCTTTGGGTTCCCCCTAATAGGCCCCTAAGTGCCCTCCAGCGTGCATTGGAGCGTTCAACTGCATACGACCGTGCCTTTGGGTTTGCACTCTCCTTGGATAAGTGCGCCTTGATTCCTCGAACTCGGGGCGTGGAGCATGAGCGGCTTGCTGCCCATTTCCACTTCAAGCTTGAGGACACTCTTGAGATCCTTGGGATTAGGGCTAGTTTTGATGGTGACTGGACTTTGCTCCGCTGCAAGACCCGTGCTGCGATTCTTCGGGCACGTTTGCTCGGCTGGACCACCAATAACCGACACTTCAGGCGTCAGCTCCTGCTGTCGCTGGTGGTCTCGCCTTTTGCATGGGCTGCTGGGTTTGCTCGTCCCAGCACAGAGGAGATGAGCACTTTGCGTAATGAGATCGAACAAGCCTTTTCCAAATCTTTTTCTACTAATTTCGCCAGAGTCTGCCTCTACGAGACTCTGGGTTGGGAGATCCACCCTGACTTTGCCTGTGACTTGGGGGCCCTACGCCTCCTGTGGAAAATGTGCGTGCAAGCCCCTCGCTGGCTGGACACGTCCCTCTTCACCGCGCGACTTTCAGCTGGGAGGCCATGATCCCTGAGGCTCCGAGCCTTTTGCAGCGGCTGCAATGGTACTTGGACCCTGCTGGTTCTGCGTTGTCTCGCATCGATCGTGCTGGCCGGCAGCGGACCGTGCGACCGGGACGTGACGGCTTCCTTGTGGTGCGCCAGTGGCTCCGCCAACACTTCCGTCAGGCTGCTGTGGCACGCACGGGCAGGATCCACCACAGCCTGCGCCGTGACGACCCGCAGCTCGCTACTGGCTTGCGTCTGCCTAGGCCTGACATGACCCTTGATTACCACTTTGGAGGCCACCACAGGGCCCTTGCCATGAATCGGCGTGACACTGACCTCACCGTGCTTGGGGCTGGTGGCACCTGCTGGCATTATAATGCCGGCGATCACTTTGGGGAAGGGCATCCCAGATGGCTTTGCATGTGTGGCTTGAAGCACCCATCACGGGCTCACCTTTTGTCGGCTTGCAGGTGCACCGCTCATCTCCGTGCTGGCCTCCGCATGCCCCGCGACAGGTGTGAGGAGCGCCTTCTACTTCATGGGGTTCCCGAGCAGCCTCCTGCTCCGCCCGCGTTGGATCCCGACGAGCTCTATGAGGATTTGGTGCAGGAGCTTTGCAATCTCATGCGAGAGGCTGCTGTCATCCATCTGGCCACTGATGGGTCGGAGCATCAGGACATTGGGGCTTTTGCTGTCGTGGTTCAGCCTGGTGGTTACCGCTGTGCCATAGGAAACGGCGAGGAGGACCAAACGTCCTACAAGCAAGAACTCTTGGGTCTCGACTTGGCTACACGTGCTGCTCTCGATGCGGCGCGGTCTACTGGGTGGACTGGCAGGATCGTCTTCGTCGTCGACTGTCAGGCCGTGCTGCGAGTCGTGCTGAGGCAGGGTGACCACTTCTCGTACTTGTTGCACATCGTCAACCAGGTTCGACGAGCTCTCGGGTCTCTTGAGGCCCTCGGCGTGCAATTGACCCATGCCTGGGTGCCCTCGCACGGGAAGCGACCGAGCTGGGAAGCCCCTTTGGGCTGAGCACGGACCTCATGAGATGGATGAACGATCAAGCTGACCGTGCCGCCGCTGAATGTCGTGTTCGTCGCAGCGGAGGTCATGGTCGTGCTGCTTGGTGGCGACTTCGTGAAGAGGCTGCTGCCTGGGAACTCAATGCAATCCAGGCTTCGGCCACTGGCCACTGCCGGCAAACACCTTCATGATGCTCTTCGACGACATGGTCTCCGGCCTTGCGAGGCTCCGCCTCCGCCGGCTGCTGCTGATGGAGATGATGGCGGGTGATGCTGGGCTGCTCCGGCTTCTTTTCGCGGGTCTTCGTGGTGCTCCTTCGGGTTTCAAGTGTTTGATGTTTCGGCGTCTGGACACACCCTCTACGACTCCCTCCGGGTCTTCGACTTCGGCAACTCCGTGGCGCTTGGGCTGCTGCTGGCTTTGGCTGATGGCGGCCTCCGGCGAACTGAGTTGCTGCCTCGACTTCTTCTGAGGCCCTGGTGCCATAGCAGCTTTGGTGACCGTGCCATTCACCACCTTGGTGATGAGGAGTGTGGCTTTCCGCGCTTGTGCCAATTGCTGCACATTCGCTCTCCTTTTTCTCTGACTTGATGGGCTCTGCGGACCACCTTTGGGCGCAGAGTTCGAACCGAAGTCGTTGCTGGGGGAAAAGCGAGCCCGTGTGGCATTACTCTGGAAGTCCCGCCAGCGAACAAGGCCTATATCTCTCCTGAACGCAGTCTGGCGAGCGGGCACCCGAGTGCTCCAAGCACAACTTGCTCCATGGATCGACTCGTGGTCTGACCACCGGTCGGTTGGAGGACTTCCACATAACTCCGTGCAGTCAGCCTTGCAGCGCATCCGACAGGCTTTCGACGAAGGGGCCACTTGCTTTGCCCAAACTGACGTCGCCTCATATTTCGACTCCATACGGATGCCTGTGCTTCAATGTGTTTTGCGCCATATGAGGTTTCTTCAGGCCATCCTCCGAGTGCTCGAGGCTTTCTATGATGGGGCTCAACGTGTCTTCTCGTTGTCTGGAGCCCTTAGCGATTCCTGGGCTCGGGTGGACTGTGGCCTGGCACAGGGATGTCCCCTATCACCGGTCCTGGCTGCTGTCTTGTCGCATGTCTGGGCCGTCTATGTGACCAGTGATGCCCAGGGTCAGCCCGCCGAGGCCTTAGCGTACATTGACGACCGCAGCCTTTGGGTTCCCCCTAATAGGCCCCTAAGTGCCCTCCAGCGTGCATTGGAGCGTTCAACTGCATACGACCGTGCCTTTGGGTTTACACTCTCCTTGGATAAGTGCGCCTTGATTCCTCGAACTCGGGGCGTGGAGCATGAGCGGCTTGCTGCCCATTTCCACTTCAAGCTTGAGGACACTCTTGAGATCCTAGGGATTAGGGCTAGTTTTGATGGTGACTGGACTTTGCTCCGCTGCAAGACCCGTGCTGCGATTCTTCGGGCACGTTTGCTCGGCTGGACCACCAATAACCGACACTTCAGGCGTCAGCTCCTGCTGTCGCTGGTGGTCTCGCCTTTTGCATGGGCTGCTGGGTTTGCTCGTCCCAGCACAGAGGAGATGAGCACTTTGCGTAATGAGATCGAACAAGCCTTTTCCAAATCTTTTTCTACTAATTTCGCCAGAGTCTGCCTCTACGAGACTCTGGGTTGGGAGATCCACCCTGACTTTGCCTGTGACTTGGGGGCCCTACGCCTCCTGTGGAAAATGTGCGTGCAAGCCCCTCGCTGGCTGGACACGGTCCCTCTTCACCGCGCGACTTTCAGCTGGGAGGCCATGATCCCTGAGGCTCCGAGCCTTTTGCAGCGGCTGCAATGGTACTTGGACCCTGCTGGTTCTGCGTTGTCTCGCATCGACCGTGCTGGCCGGCAGCGGACCGTGCGACCGGGACGTGACGGCTTCCTTGTGGTGCGCCAGTGGCTCCGCCAACACTTCCGTCAGGCTGCTGTGGCACGCACGGGCAGGATCCACCACAGCCTGCACCGTGACGACCCGCAGCTCGCTACTGGCTTGCGTCTGCCTAGGCCTGACATGACCCTTGATTACCACTTTGGAGGCCACCACAGGGCCCTTGCCATGAATCGGCGTGACACTGACCTCACCGTGCTTGGGGTGGCACCTGCTGGCATTATAATGCCGGCGATCACTTTGGGGAAGGGCATCCCAGATGGCTTTGCATGTGTGGCTTGAAGCACCCATCACGGGCTCACCTTTTGTGGGCTTGCAGGTGCACCGCTCATCTCCGTGCTGGCCTCCGCATGCCCCGCGACAGGTGTGAGGAGCGCCTTCTACTTCATGGGGTTCCCGAGCAGCCTCCTGCTCCGCCCGCGTTGGATCCCGACGAGCTCTATGAGGATTTGGTGCAGGAGCTTTGCAATCTCATGCGAGAGGCTGCTGTCATCCATCTTGCCACTGATGGGTCGGAGCATCAGGACATTGGGGCTTTTGCTGTCGTGGTTCAGCCTGGTGGTTACCGCTGTGCCATAGGAAACGGCGAGGAGGACCAAACGTCCTACAAGCAAGAACTCTTGGGTCTCGACTTGGCTACACGTGCTGCTCTCGATGCGGCGCGGTCTACTGGGTAGACTGGCAGGATCGTCTTCGTCGTCGACTGTCAGGCCGTGCTGCGAGTAGTGCTGAGGCAGGGTGACCACTTCTCGTACTTGTTGCACATCGTCAACCAGGTTCGACGAGCTCTCGGGTCTCTTGAGGCCCTCGGCTGAGCACGGACCTCATGAGATGGATGAACGATCAAGCTGACCGTGCCGCCGCTGAATGTCGTGTTCGTCGCAGCGGAGGTCATGGTCGTGCTGCTTGGTGGCGACTTCGTGAAGAGGCTGCTGCCTGGGAACTCAATGCAATCCAGGCTTCGGCCACTGCCGGCAAACACCTTCATGATGCTCTTCGACGACATGGTCTCCGGCCTTGCGAGGCTCCGCCTCCGCCGGCTGCTGCTGATGGAGATGATGGCGGGTGATGCTGGGCTGCTTCGGCTTCTTTTCGCGGGTCTTCGTGGTGCTCCTTCGGGTTTCAAGTGTTTGATGTTTCGGCGTCTGGACACACCCTCTACGACTCCCTCCGGGTCTTCGACTCCGGCAACCCCGTGGCGCTTGGGCTGCTGCTGGCTTTGGCTGATGGCGGCCTCCGGCGAACTGAGTTGCTGCCTCGTCTTCTTCTGAGGCCCTGGTGCCATAGCAGCTTTGGTGACCGTGCCATTCACCACCTTGGTGATGAGGAGTGTGGCTTTCCGCGCTTGTGCCAATTGCTGCACATTCGCTCTCCTTTTTCTCTGACTTGATGGGCTCTGCGGACCACCTTTGGACGCAGAGTTCGAACCGAAGTCGTTGCTGGGGGAATGTGGGTATGTGTGCGAGCCCTTGCACGGTGTGTGCCTGGTGCCAGATAAGTCCACGTTTGATTGTGAATTGAGGTTGAAATGTCTCAGTGCGGTGCCAGCGCTGCAGGTTGCCTTGTGTAGCATTACATGGGCGTGTTAGTCCTGGGTCGTTGCTTCCCCCTAGACAAATGTGATAAAACCTCTAATGAAGGTGGCAGTCCACGTGACTCTGTTCTGTGTCAGAGTCTTGTTCAATGGCGCATCGCTTGTAGAACAAAGTCAGAGGGCATAACGACTGCGTGAGTGTGGAGCACAAGTAGAGACGAGTCGACTGGTCTTGCGCGGGAGCCACTTCACAGCAGCTGCAGAGATGGACTTGGCTCGTTTGTTTGCTTGTTTGCTTCCTACTCTGCTCCTGATGTTCAGTGCTGCAGCGGCGGTTGCGGTGCCGGAGATGGATTATGCGTCGCTGCGCGCAGATGTCGTGAAAGCCTACGCTCAGCAGGCAGCCGAGATGACGCAGTCGCTGAGCGTCTTGCAAGCAATTAGCACAGACACAGCTGCGGTGCTAACTCGCTTGCAGAGCGCCTGTGCCTAGCCCGTGCATCGCTCCTGCCTTTCGCAAATACGTGGCGGCCCAAGCTGTCGTAAAGAGCGAGGAGCCTGTGCAGAGAGCAGTGTTACGCTGGAGTGCGCTTGTGTGTGTGTGTGTGTGTGTGTGTGTGTATGTGTGTGTGTGTGTGTGTGTGTGTGTGTGTGTGTTCGTGTGTCCCCGTATCGTGACGCTCAGGAGGTTGTGCGCCGCAAGATGGCGGCGTGCAGTTTCAGGGTCCAGTTACCGTCGGACATTCGGTCTGTGAGAACGAGTTGTGTAGCAAGTGTGCATGTTGTGCGTGGTGAATGCTATGGCTGCTATGGCCGCAGTGGTGAAGCCTTGCCTTCTGTTGTCCTTGATGCTGCCTGCAGCTGCGCAGCGTTTCGCTTCCTTCGATGCAGCTACAGCCTCGAGCATCTACTCTTCCAAGACCTTCGGAGCCGAGCTTGCAACCACGGAGTCTTCGGGGTATTGGTGCAGCGCGGGGAACCACGAGCCGGGCCAGACCGTGTCCTGGACTGGCACCTTCAGATCACGGAGACAGCTACTTGGCCTCACTTTGCGATGGAGCTATGCTCCAGGAGAGATCAAGGTTCTCACTAGCGCAGACGGTGGCAACTTTCAGGAGAGTGTCGGCTGGAGCAGGCTATCAAGATCGGAGCCCAGCTTCGAGGACACTGTCTTGTTCCCGGAGCCAGTGACTGCGAAAGCTGTCAAAGTGCTAATGCGTGGCGCGAAGCCTTGGGGATACTTCGGGCTGTCCAATGCAGTTGCGATGTCGGGGCCATCCGCTTACATGCTCGTGAGCGGTGCTCCAGCAGCCCAAGAGCAATGCCTTGTCGCAGCTGGCGGTGGTGTGGAAGCAAAGCCCTGCGTCGATGCCATTGTGGCTGGCACAGGTGCCGAGGTGTTCTCCAGCAGTGTGGAAGGGCAACTACAGACGTTGGGCGGAAGTTGCTTGGGAGTTGTGGCCGGCAAGGTGTCTTTGGTGGAATGCCGAGAAGGGCAAGGAAGTTGGGTAGTCAGCCAGGACGGGCAAGTCAAGCAAGGCAACACTTGCTTGGTGGTGGCTGGATCGAAGGTTGCAGCCGCTGACTGCGATGATGCCTCCAGCACAGGTGGCGACAAGTTCTTCCAGGTGGCAGTTCCAGAGCATGACCCTGCGGCTGTGCTTGCGGTGCAGGAGGTGGGAATGCTGTTGCGTGCTAGCGTGGCAAGGCAGCGAAGTTTGGTGAAGTCCCTGCAGCATCTCGCTCCAAAGCTTGGGTCTTGCAGGCCTGTGAGCCTGGTCGCAAGCAAGACTTGGCCAGCCTTCGTGCAGTTCGGCACAGTCGGGTCATCTGCTGGGCGTGCAGCGCTCGACGAGTCGCTGCCGGTCAAGGTCGCTGACACGTTTGGTCCTGGCAGGGCAGCGCTCGCGTCAGTGCTTGCGGCGTCTTCGGACACCCTCAAGCTTGTTGCTTCCAAGGTCTAGTCCTGCTGGGTTCTAGTCATCCCCTGCAACTCGAAGCAAGTGCCCGCGTGCAGAGCACCGGCTTCAGCTGCAATGTGCCCCAGGAGGCTGCGGCAATGATGCTGCGTCAGTAGGCTAAGTAGATTACGAGATTGAGACGACGTTGCTTGAGAGTTCAAATCCTTGCTCTGCCAGCCTTCTTGCGCAAGCCGGCCAAGGGCCAAGACGTGTAGAGAGCTGGTTCAACTGCTGCGGGGGTTGCTACTGCTATCTGCCAGTAGTGCCGACGTAAGCCGTGTCGGGTGTAGCGGTTCGGCCGGGTTTGGCAATGCACCCGTCTCTCACATGTACATGCAGTGCTGTACAGTTGTGTTGATGCCAGCAGTGCTTGGATGTTGTGTATCGGTGTTGAGTGCACAGCTCCGGTGCTGGCACAATTGCTGTGCTATAGTGTTCTTGATTTTCCCACCCGCCCGCCCGGGGAAGAGTTTCTGCTGCCAGGGATGGCAGTCATGTCCGACCAATGAAAAACTTGAGTCGAGTTTGTCTGGACACCGTCCCATGGCAAACAGCCCACCTGGGCACCTCATGGCGGCCTGTGCGTCACGCAGCTCCGTGCTCTCAATGAGGCTGCGGACAAAGCGGCACAGGCATCGATGGAACGACGTTGGACGGGCTCTCGCCGGCATGCCTATGCGCAACGAGCACGTCATGCACAACAGTGGGAAACTCAGGCTTTGCAGGCCATCGCGACCATGCCAAGGCCTACCGAGACTACTTGCACACCCTGGGCACACCATCGGGTGAACCTTGATGACTGGCTGTCATTGGTCGGTGTTGTGGGTTTACTTCTCGCTCCTGGACGACCTCATGGCTTGTTATGCTTGGTGTCGTGGCGCGGTCCTTCGGTGACTTCGGCACGACCTACATCTTGTTCTGCCTCTTCGGCGTGAGCTCATCTGAGTCTGCTTGTACATTGTACAGTTTGGGCTTCAGGTTTGCTTTGGTTTTGTGTTCCACAAAAGTGGCACTGATAAGTTGAACCGAGCTTTGTTGGACCTTCTGGCCAACTTTGACAGACCTACGTCCGACCAATGCGGAGACTCGTGTGCCCCTGCAGCGGCATTGCAGCCTACTGGGCCTGTCTATCAAGGATCGCGCAGAAGACGGATCGACTTCGCGATTCAGCATGCTCAGCTCCCGGCTCAGACGGTCGCTCATCATGAGGGCCCTTCAGATCACTTGGTTGTTGCTTACACTTACGACGTGGCTCCCTTGATGAGACGTGGGCCCCGCCGCCGCGTGATACGATCGGACGTCACTAAGGAGCAGGCGGCTGCAAGTTTTGCAGAGTGGTCCCCGGTGGCCTTGCAGGCTGCCTTAGAGGACTGCGATGTCGAGACTGCCTGGGCTTTGCTTTCTGATAGTGCCGAGGACGCCCTGTGTGATCCTGATGAGTGTGCAGTTAGGCGGTCTGAGCACTGGCATCCCCAAGCCCCTAGCCTTACCCCTAAATCCAGCAAGAGGCCCGAGCGCTCCCCAGGCTTGCGAGCTCTGCTCCGTCTCCACTCTCGCCTTCAGACTGCAGTGGCGTCGCCACACCACCGACAACTCCAGCAGTGCATTTGGAAGTCTTTGCGAGGTGTGCGTCAGCTGGTGCCCGAGCTGCCTTACTTCACCGTGATCGATCAAGCCATGCTGACTGTTGTGTCGGACCTGGTTACAGCTTACGTGGATGCCGAGCGGAAAACCTCCAAGGCACAGTGGAGACACCGCGTCCGTAGTGACATCACGGCGGCCCGAAGCTACATCAAGAAGCGGACGGACGCCATCCTTCAATGGGAACACGAGCAAGCCAGTGCCATGGCCCCGCGGACTGGCCGACACCCTGCTGTTGAAGTTGATCGTCAGGCCGCCATCTGGCATCAAACCTGGCGCTCCCGACCTGGCTCTCGAGCTGCCCTTGACCCGATCTTGGCGGCTACCCCGAGGCCAGAAAGCACCGACGCTGTGTTTGACATCACAGCGGCGGCGCTGAAGGCCGCGACAGGCACCATGCATGCCAAAGCTCCTGGCCCAGACTCGTGGCCTGCGTCAGCTCTGGTCTTGATGCCAGACTCTTGGTGGGAGTGCGCCGCAGCCCTCTGGCGCTGCGTCTTGCAAACCGGCCGCATCCCTCGTGCCTGGACCCGCGGACGGACCAGCCTCCTCTGGAAAGCCTCCGGCAAATCGCGCCCGATAACTGTGCTCCCCATTCTTTGGCGGGCCGGAGCCAAGTTGATCAATGAGCAGCTGGCAGGATGGTGCATGTCGTGGCGCACCGCTCGAGACACAGGCGGTTTGCCGGGAACCAGTGTGGCTGCAGCTTTACAACAACTCCATTTTGAGACCCAGCAAGGCTTCCGAGCCGTCGCTCAACAAGACATCGCCAGCTTTTTCGACAGCCTGGAGTATGGCGCTACTGAGGCAATCTTGACCCATCTCAAGGCGCCTCCGGAGCTCGTCCGCCTTTTCACGAACGCATGTGCGCAATCTCAACGCATTTTTGCGCTGGAAGGAGCGCTAAGCAAAGACTGGTATCGACCTACCAGAGGACTTCCTCAGGGTTGTCCTCTCAGCCCGCTAATAGCGGCGGCCGTCACACACGTGTGGGCATGCCACGTCCTTGGCGTCGAGGATCAAGTCGACAGGCCCATCACAGGCTACGGCTATGTCGATGACCGGGTCCTACTGCTCAGGCGTCATGGATCCTTCCAGGACCTCGCTCTGGCTGTGGAGCGTTCGAACCAGTTTGACCGGGCCATGCAACTTGAGGTTTCGTTGCCCAAATGTGCCATCATTGCTGAGGCGTCGTGTCAGGAGGCTGCTGCTCTTGCTAGGACTCTCGGCTACAAGCACTTGCAGGATCTGGAAACCTTAGGTGTGGTGGTCCCTCAGCACGGCCCTTGGCGGCTCCTGAAGTTCTCACTTCGCAAACTGCAGGTTCGGCTTCAACTTCTTCGATCTCTAGGGCTGCCTAACAGAACGATTGGGCTCCTGCTGCGCTCGCTAATTGTGCCATGCTTCACGTGGGCTGCTGCCTACGCTGCACCGGACGCGGCGGAGCTGACTGCCATCAGACAGGAGATCAACCACATGACTGCTCGATTCTCCACTTTTGGTTGTGCGAGGGTCCTGCTTCATGAGACGATTGGGTGGTTCTTGGACCCCCAATTCTGCTTGGATGTGGCCACCCTGCGGGCCTACTGGCGCTCTGTCGTGCAGCCGATGGATTGGACTGAGGCCCTTCCTCTGTCGGAGCTGCAAGGCTATGTGATCAAGGCACTGCCCATGCTGGAGCCGACGCTGCAACGCTTGCAGTGGGCACTCTCTGCCGACACTAAGGTGCTTCAATGTTGGGATGTTGAGGGTTCCCTTAGGTTGCTGCATGTGGGTTACGAGTCTTTCCAGGTCCTGCTGCAATGGCTCAGGCACCACTACCGTCGACTCTATGTGGGTCGTGCAGGCCGCGTGTGGCGACCCAACCGCAGGACTGATGATGATGCTGCAGCTGTGGGACTGCGACTTCCACCGCCCTCGCGTGACGCTCAATTCGCTTTCGGAGGCCACCGTGAGTGCTTCCGGGCTCGGGCTGCGGGCAGTGACCGAGAGTTGCTCCTCGCCTCCATTGGCGCGGGGGCTTCCAATTGGCACTACAATGCAGGCGGCAACTTTAACAGCGATCATGCTCGACATAAGTGTGCGTGTGGTGGCACCCACCCCAGCAGGCCTCACCTCGCGTGGTCATGTACGCATTTTCAGGCGATGCGGGCCGACATTCAGCCCCCGGCTCACACTGCTCAGGAGCGACTCTTCGCCATGGAGGTGGGGTGTTACCCGGCAGCTCCGCCGGCCATCGACCTTCAGGATTTCAAGGAGCACCTCGTGGAGCTCCTCGGCACCTTCGCAGACGAGCAGGACCTCTTCGTAGCCACGGACGGCTCCAGCAAGGATGGCGTGGGCTCCTCGGGCATTGCTGTTCAGCATCCTGACTCGGTAGCTGCTTTCGGCGATGGGCTGGAGGATCAGAGCCCGTACAGGATGGAGGTTCTCGCGCTTGCGTTGGCCCTCGAGGCGATTGACATTGGCGGGGTCCCAAGGTACGGTGGCGTCGGGTCTACCTCGTCGTCGACTGCCAGGCGGCGATTCGGGCGATCCAGGGCGAGCAGGGCTTCGACTACGCTCTCCTGCTCGACACGATTCGGCGTTACATCAAAAGGGGTTTCGCGACGGCAAGTTGGAAGTCGAGTTTGTCTGGACACCGTCCCATGGCAAACAGCCCACCTGGGCACTTCATGGCGGCCTGTGCGTCACGCAGCTCCGTGCTCTCAATGAGGCTGCGGACAAAGCGGCACAGGCATCGATGGAACGACGTTGGACGGGCTCTCGCCGGCATGCCTATGCACAACGAGCACGTCATGCACAACAGTGGGAAACTCAGGCTTTGCAGGCCATCGCGACCACGCCAAGGCCTACCGAGACTACTTGCACACCCTGGGCACACCATCGGGTGAGCTTTGATGACTGGCTGTCATTTGTCGGTGTTGTGGGTTTACTTCTCGCTCCTGGACGACCTCGCTGGACAGTGCGGAGCGAAGCGCAGCACCTGAAGCGTCTCGTGTCATAATGTACCATAAGTGTGCGAAGCATTTGTATAGTGGCAGCTGCCCAGAGCTTAGAGCTAGATAGTGCTAGATCCAGGTAGGTTAGCCGCAGGATTTCTTTTGAACGCACCGCCGCCCCAATCGCCTCCAGGAAGTTTGTAGTTCCTTGCTAGGCCAGGAAAGATCGGCTGTCGGCATTTGCGCATCCCACGAACAAAAGGGCGTGTGCGCACTTGCGTCTTAGAAGTGTCACGGCGTCTATGGGCTGGAGGGTGGGTAGTTTGTACATGTCGAGACTAGAGACATGGCTTGTCATGCTTGGTGTCGTGGCGCGGTCCTTCGGTGACTTCGGCACGACCTACATCCTGTTCTGCCTCTTCGGCGTGAGCTCATCTGAGTCTGCTTGTACAGCTTGGGCTTCAGGCTTGCATTGGTTTTGTGTTCCACAAAAGTGGCACTGTTGAGTTGAACCGAGCTTTGTTGGACCTTCTGGCCAACTTTGACAGACCTACGTCCGACCAATGAAAAAGGGGAGACCGACCGCCACTTCGTGCACTGCATAAGAACGTGTGAGGTATTGATCCGTTTTGTAGGTTCGTTTCTCTGTTGCAGCTCTATAGCATTTGCAGCCCGTCTCATTTCCAGGTCAGGTGTGGCCTTGTCACTGGCCCGTACTGTGACATAAACCCTTACATCCCTTACGATCTAGCCAGCACATCTTGCGCGTGCAGGTGCAGCAGAGAGAAGTGTTGGTTGTGGGTCGACCTGGAGGTCAACTGCTGCTGGAGTGTTCCGATGTTGTATATCAAAAAGTTGTGTTTTGCGCGCGCGGCTTGAGTTCTTTCGTGCCTCGCCCAGTCCGCCCAACGACACGCTCTGAGGGGAGTGTTAGCAGCATTCGCCCGTGCTTTGATGTGCGGGTTGCGATTCTGGAATATGTGTATGCCATTGTGTGTTAGCATTCGCCCGTGCTTTGATGTGCGGGTTGCGATTCTGGCGTATGTGAGTGTATGCAGTGTATGCCATTGTGTGAATGTGCTGCAGCATATGTTATGCTGCATCATGCTACCATGTATTCCCATTCGTGAAGAAAAGGAGTGCTCTTGCGTTGCTGTGCATTTGATGTTTTGCGGTAGTTTAATCCTGTCCGACTGACATGTCCCGCAGGGGAGGCGAGGCAATTGCGTGGTTGATGTTGCTGGGGACGGCGACTCCGGCAACCCCGTGGCGCTTGGGCTGCTGCTGGCTTTGGCTGATGGCGGCCTCCGGCGAACTGAGTTGCTGCCTCGACTTCTTCTGAGGCCCTGGTGCCATAGCAGCTTTGGTGACCGTGCCATTCACCACCCTGGTGATGAGGAGTGTGGCTTTCCGCGCTTGTGCCAATTGCTGCACATTCGCTCTCCTTTTTCTCTGACTTGATGGGCTCTGCGGACCACCTTTGGGCGCAGTGTTCGAACCGAAGTCGTTGCTGGGGGAATGTGGGTATGTGTGCGAGCCCTTGCACGGTGTGTGCCTGGTGCCAGATAAGTCCACGTTTGGTTGTGAATTGAGGTTGAAATGTCTCAGTGTGGTGCCAGCGCTGCAGGTTGCCTTGTGTAGCATTACATGGGCGTGTTAGTCCTGGGTCGTTGCTTCCCCCTAGACAAATGTGATAAAACCTCTAATGAAGGTGGCAGTCCACGTGACTCTGTTCTGTGTCAGAGTCTTGTTCAATGGCGCATCGCTTGTAGAACAAAGTCAGAGGGCATAACGACTGCGTGAGTGTGGAGCACAAGTAGAGACGAGTCGACTGGTCTTGCGCGGGAGCCACTTCACAGCAGCTGCAGAGATGGACTTGGCTCGTTTGTTTGCTTGTTTGCTTCCTACTCTGCTCCTGATGTTCAGTGCTGCAGCGGCGGTTGCGGTGCCGGAGATGGATTATGCGTCGCTGCGCGCAGATGTCGTGAAAGCCTACGCTCAGCAGGCAGCCGAGATGACGCAGTCGCTGAGCGTCTTGCAAGCACTCAGCACAGACACAGCTGCGGTGCTAACTCGCTTGCAGAGCGCCTGTGCCTAGCCCGTGCATCGCTCCTGCCTTTCGCAAATACGTGGCGGCCCAAGCTGTCGTAAAGAGCGAGGAGCCTGTGCAGAGAGCTGTGTTACGCTGGAGTGCGCTTGTGTGTGTGTGTGTGTGTGTGTGTGTGTGTATGTGTGTGTGTGTGTGTGTGTGTGTGTGTGTGTGTTCGTGTGTCCCCGTATCGTGACGCTCAGGAGGTTGTGCGCCGCAAGACGGCGGCGTGCAGTTTCAGGGTCCAGTTACCGTCGGACATTCGGTCTGTGAGAACGAGTTGTGTAGCAAGTGTGCATGTTGTGCGTGGTGAATGCTATGGCTGCTATGGCCGCAGTGGTGAAGCCTTGCCTTCTGTTGTCCTTGATGCTGCCTGCAGCTGCGCAGCGTTTCGCTTCCTTCGATGCAGCTACAGCCTCGAGCATCTACTCTTCCAAGACCTTCGGAGCCGAGCTTGCAACCACGGAGTCTTCGGGGTATTGGTGCAGCGCGGGGAACCACGAGCCGGGCCAGACCGTGTCCTGGACTGGCACCTTCAGATCACGGAGACAGCTACTTGGCCTCACTTTGCGATGGAGCTATGCTCCAGGAGAGATCAAGGTTCTCACTAGCGCAGACGGTGGCAACTTTCAGGAGAGTGTCGGCTGGAGCAGGCTATCAAGATCGGAGCCCAGCTTCGAGGACACTGTCTTGTTCCCGGAGCCAGTGACTGCGAAAGCTGTCAAAGTGCTAATGCGTGGCGCGAAGCCTTGGGGATACTTCGGGCTGTCCAATGCAGTTGCGATGTCGGGGCCATCCGCTTACATGCTCGTGAGCGGTGCTCCAGCAGCCCAAGAGCAATGCCTTGTCGCAGCTGGCGGTGGTGTGGAAGCAAAGCCCTGCGTCGATGCCATTGTGGCTGGCACAGGTGCCGAGGTGTTCTCCAGCAGTGTGGAAGGGCAACTACAGACGTTGGGCGGAAGTTGCTTGGGAGTTGTGGCCGGCAAGGTGTCTTTGGTGGAATGCCGAGAAGGGCAAGGAAGTTGGGTAGTCAGCCAGGACGGGCAAGTCAAGCAAGGCAACACTTGCTTGGTGGTGGCTGGATCGAAGGTTGCAGCCGCTGACTGCGATGATGCCTCCAGCACAGGTGGCGACAAGTTCTTCCAGGTGGCAGTTCCAGAGCATGACCCTGCGGCTGTGCTTGCGGTGCAGGAGGTGGGAATGCTGTTGCGTGCTAGCGTGGCAAGGCAGCGAAGTTTGGTGGAGTCCCTGCAGCATCTCGCTCCAAAGCTTGGGTCTTGCAGGCCTGTGAGCCTGGTCGCAAGCAAGACTTGGCCAGCCTTCGTGCAGTTCGGCACAGTCGGGTCATCTGCTGGGCGTGCAGCGCTCGACGAGTCGCTGCCGGTCAAGGTCGCTGACACGTTTGGTCCTGGCAGGGCAGCGCTCGCGTCAGTGCTTGCGGCGTCTTCGGACACCCTCAAGCTTGTTGCTTCCAAGGTCTAGTCCTGCTGGGTTCTCGTCATCCCCTGCAACTCGAAGCAAGTGCCCGCGTGCAGAGCACCGGCTTCAGCTGCAATGTGCCCCAGGAGGCTGCGGCAATGATGCTGCGTCAGTAGGCTAAGTAGATTACGAGATTGAGACGACGTTGCTTGAGAGTTCAAATCCTTGCTCTGCCAGCCTTCTTGCGCAAGCCGGCCAAGGGCCAAGACGTGTAGAGAGCTGGTTCAACTGCTGCGGGGGTTGCTACTGCTATCTGCCAGTAGTGCCGACGTAAGCCGTGTCGGGTGTAGCGGTTCGGCCGGGTTTGGCAATGCACCCGTCTCTCACATGTACACGCAGTGCTGTACAGTTTTGTTGATGCCAGCAGTGCTTGGATGTTGTGTATCGGTGTTGAGTGCACAGCTCCGGTGCTGGCACAATTGCTGTGCTATAGTGTTCTTGATTTTCCCACCCGCCCGCCCGGGGAAGAGTTTCTGCTGCCAGGGATGGCAGTCATGTCCGACCAATGAAAAACTTGAGTCGAGTTTGTCTGGACACCGTCCCATGGCAAACAGCCCACCTGGGCACTTCATGGCGGCCTGTGCGTCACGCAGCTCCGTGCAATGAGGCTGCGGACAAAGCGGCACAGGCATCGATGGAACGACGTTGGACGGGCTCTCGCCGGCATGCCTATGCACAACGAGCACGTCATGCACAACAGTGGGAAACTCAGGCTTTGCAGGCCATCGCGACCACGCCAAGGCCTACCGAGACTACTTGCACACCCTGGGCACACCATCGGGTGAACTTTGATGACTGGCTGTCATTTGTCGGTGTTGTGGGTTTACTTCTCGCTCCTGGACGACCTCGCTGGACAGTGCGGAGCGAAGCGCAGCACCTGAAGCGTCTCGTGTCATAATGTACCATAAGTGTGCGAAGCATTTGTATAGTGGCAGCTGCCCAGAGCTTAGAGCTAGATAGTGCTAGATCCAGGTAGGTTAGCCGCAGGATTTCTTTTGAACGCACCGCCGCCCCAATCGCCTCCAGGAAGTTTGTAGTTCCTTGCTAGGCCAGGAAAGATCGGCTGTCGGCATTTGCGCATCCCACGAACAAAAGGGCGTGTGCGCACTTGCGTCTTAGAAGTGTCACGGCGTCTATGGGCTGGAGGGTGGGTAGTTTGTACATGTCGAGACTAGAGACATGGCTTGTCATGCTTGGTGTCGTGGCGCGGTCCTTCGGTGACTTCGGCACGACCTACATCCTGTTCTGCCTCTTCGGCGTGAGCTCATCTGAGTCTGCTTGTACAGCTTGGGCTTCAGGCTTGCATTGGTTTTGTGTTCCACAAAAGTGGCACTGTTGAGTTGAACCGAGCTTTGTTGGACCTTCTGGCCAACTTTGACAGACCTACGTCCGACCAATGAAAAAGGGGAGACCGACCGCCACTTCGTGCACTGCATAAGAACGTGTGAGGTATTGATCCGTTTTGTAGGTTCGTTTCTCTGTTGCAGCTCTATAGCATTTGCAGCCCGTCTCATTTCCAGGTCAGGTGTGGCCTTGTCACTGGCCCGTACTGTGACATAAACCCTTACATCCCTTACGATCTAGCCAGCACATCTTGCGCGTGCAGGTGCAGCAGAGAGAAGTGTTGGTTGTGGGTCGACCTGGAGGTCAACTGCTGCTGGAGTGTTCCGATGTTGTATATCAAAAAGTTGTGTTTTGCACGCGCGGCTTGAGTTCTTTCGTGCCTCGCCCAGTCCGCCCAACGACACGCTCTGAGGGGAGTGTTAGCAGCATTCGCCCGTGCTTTGATGTGCGGGTTGCGATTCTGGAATATGTGTATGCCATATTGTGTTAGCATTCGCCCGTGCTTTGATGTGCGGGTTGCGATTCTGGCGTATGTGAGTGTATGCAGTGTATGCCATTGTGTGAATGTGCTGCAGCATATGTTATGCTGCATCATGCTACCATGTATTCCCATTCGTGAAGAAAAGGAGTGCTCTTGCGTTGCTGTGCATTTGATGTTTTGCGGTAGTTTAATCCTGTCCGACTGACATGTCCCGCAGGGGAGGCGAGGCAATTGCGTGGTTGATGTTGCTGGGGACGGCGACTCCGGCAACCCCGTGGCGCTTGGGCTGCTGCTGGCTTTGGCTGATGGCGGCCTCCGGCGAACTGAGTTACTGCCTCGACTTCTTCTGAGGCCCTGGTGCCATAGCAGCTTTGGTGACCGTGCCATTCACCACCCTGGTGATGAGGAGTGTGGCTTTCCGCGCTTGTGCCAATTGCTGCACATTCGCTCTCCTTTTTCTCTGACTTGATGGGCTCTGCGGACCACTTTGGGCGCAGGTTCGAACCGAAGTCGTTGCTGGGGGAATGTGGGTATGTGTGCGAGCCCTTGCACGGGTGTGCCTGGTGCCAGATAAGTCCACGTTTGATTGTGAAGTTGAGGTTGAAATGTCTCAGTGCGGTGCCAGCGCTGCAGGTTGCCTTGTTTAGCGTTACATGGGCGTGTTGGTCCTGGGTCGTTGCTTCTCCCTAGACAAATGTGCTAAAAACCTCTAATCTAATGAGAGTGGCAGTCCACGTGACTCTGTTCTGTGTCAGAGTCCGTGTTCAGTGGCGCATCGCTCGTAGAAAAAGTCGGGGCGGAGCACAAGTAGAGACGAGTCGACTGGTCTTGCGCGGGAGCCACTTCACAGCAGCTGCAGAGATATGGACTTGGCTCGTTTGTTTGCTTGTTTGCTTCCTACTCTGCTCCTGATGTTCAGTGCTGCAGCGGCGGTTGCAGTGCCGGAGATGGATTATGCGTCGCTGCGCGCAGATGTCGTGAAAGCCTGCGCCCAGCAGGCAGCCGAGATGACTCAGTCACTGAGCGTCTTGCAAGCACTCAGCACAGACACAGCTGCGGTGCTAACTCGCTTGGAGAGCGCCTGTGCCTAGCTTTCAAGCATCTTGTCGCCGTTCGCTCCTGCCTTTCGCAAATACGTGGCGGCCCAAGCTGTCGTAAAGAGCGAGGAGCCTGTGCGTAGAGCTGTACTATGCTGGAGTGCTCGTTCGTGTGTGTCTTTGTGTGTGTGTGTGTGTGTTTGTCCGCGTATCGTGGCGCTCAGGAGTTTGTGCACCGCAAGACAGCGGCGCGCAGTTTTCAGGGTCCAGCTACCGTTGGACATTCGGTCTGTGAGAACGAGTTGTGTAGCAAGTGTGCATGTTGTGTGTGGTGAGTGCTATGGCTGCTATGGAAGCAATGGTGAAGGCTTGCCTTCTGTTGTCCTTGATGCTGCCTGCAGCTGCGCAGCGTTTCGCTTCCTTCGATGCAGCTACAGCCTCGAGCGTCTACTCTTCTAAGACATTCGGGGCCGAGCTTGCAACCACGGAATCTTCGGGGTATTGGTGCAGCGCGGGGAACCACGAGCCGGGCCAGACCGTGTCCTGGACTGGCACTTTCAGATCACGGAGACAGCTGCTTGGCCTGACTTTGCGATGGAGCTATGCTCCAGGAGAGATCAAGGTGCTGACTAGCGCAGACGGTGGCAACTTTCAGGAGAGTGTCGGCTGGAGCAAGCTCTCGAGATCGGAGCCCAGCTTCGAGGACACTGTCTTGTTCCCGGAGCCAGTGGCTGCGAAAGCTGTCAAAGTGTTAATGCGCGGCGCAAAGCCTTGGGGATACTTCGGGCTGTCCAATGCAGTTGCGATGTCGGGGCCATCCGCTTACATGCTCGTGAGCGGTGCTCCAGCAGCCCAAGAGCAATGCCTTGTCGCAGCTGGCGGTGGTGTGGAAGCAAAGCCCTGCGTCGATGCCATTGTGGCTGGCACAGGTGCTGAGGTGTTCTCCAGCAGTGCGGAAGGGCAGCTACAGGTGTTGGGCGGAAGTTGCTTGGGAGTTGTGGCCGGCAAGGTGTCTTTGGTCGAATGCCAAGAAGGGCAAGCAAGTTGGATAGTCAGCCAGGACGGGCAAGTCAAGCAAGGCAACACCTGCTTGGTGGTGGCTGGATCGAAGGTTGCAGCCGCTGACTGCGATGATGCCTCCAGCACTGGTGGCGACAAATTCTTCCAGGTGACAGTTCCAGAGCATGACCCTGCGGCTGTGCTTGCGGTGCAGGAGGTGGGAACGCTGTTGCGTGCTAGCGTGGAAAGGCAGCGAAGTTTGGTGGAGTCCCTGCAGCATCTCGCTCCAAGGCTTGGGTCTTGCAGGCCTGTGAGCCTGGTCACAAGCAAGACTTGGCCAGCCTTCGTGCAGTTCGGCAGAGTCGGGTCATCTGCTGGGCGTGCAGCGCTCGACGAGTCACTGCCGGTCAAGGTCGCTGACACGTTTGGTCCTGGCAGGGCAGCGCTAGCGTCAGTGCTTGCGGCGTCCTCGGACATTCTCAAGCTTGTTGCTTCCAAGGTATAGGCCTGCTGTGTTCTGGTCATCCCCTGCCAGGCCACTCGAAGCAAGTGCCCGCGTGCAGAGCACCAGCTTCAGCTGCAACGTGCCCCAGGAGGCTGCGGCAATGATGCTGCGTCAGTAGACTAAGTAGATTACGAGATTGACGACGTTGCTTGAGAATCCTTGCTCTGCCTGCCTTCTTGCGCAAGCCGGCCAAGACGTGTAAAGAGACCTGGTTCAACTGCTGCGGGGGTTTCTACTATTCTACTGCTATCTGCTATCTGCCACTAGTGCCGACGTAAGCCGTATAGATCCATTTGTAGGTTCTCGTTTCTCAGTTGCAGCTCTTGAACGTCTGCAGAATCTTGCAGCCCTTCTCATTTCCAGGTCAGGTGTGGCTTGGTCACTGGACCGTACTGTGACGTAAACCCTTTCTATCTATAGCCAACACAGCTTGCTCGTGCAGCTGCAACAGGTTGTGGGTCGACCTGGAGGTCAACTGCTGCTGGAGTGTTCCGATCTTCAGTGTTGCGTGCTCACCGTTGCGCATGCTGTGCTTAGCAGGCAGGGGGTGGCAATTGCGTGGTTGATGTTGCTGGGGGAGACGTGGCTATGTATGAGAGCCTTTGCAGGGTGTGTGCCTGGTGCCAGATTTGCCCATGTTTGATTGTGAATTGAGGTTGAAATGTCTGTGTGCGGTGCCAGCGCTGCAGGTTGCCTTGTTTAGCGTTACATGGGCGTGGTGGTCCTGGGTCGTTGCTTCCCCCTAGACAATTGTGCTCAAAACCTCTGATGAAGGTGGCAGTCCACGTGACTCTGTTCTGTGTCAGAGTCCTTGTTCAATGGCGCATCGCTGGTAGAACAAAGTCAGAGGGCATGTGACGACTGTGCGTGAGTGTGGAGCACAAGTAGAGACGAGTCGACTGGTCTTGCGCGGGAGCCACTTCACAGCAGCTGCAGAGATGGACTTGGCTCGTTTGTTTGCTTGTTTGCTTCCTACTCTGCTCCTGATGTTCAGTGCTGCAGCGGCGGTTGCAGTGCCGGAGATGGATTATGCGTCGCTGCGCGCAGATGTCGTGAAAGCCTACGCTCAGCAGGCAGCCGAGATGACTCAGTCACTGAGCGTCTTGCAAGCACTCAGCACAGACACAGCTGCGGTGCTAACTCGCTTGGAGAGCGCCTGTGCCTAGCTTTCAAGCATCTTGTCGCCGTTCGCTCCTGCCTTTCGCAAATACGTGGCGGCCCAAGCTGTCGTAAAGAGCGAGGAGCCTGTGCGTAGAGCTGTACTATGCTGGAGTGCTCGTTCGTGTGTGTGTGTGTGTGTGTGTGTGTGTGTGTGTGTTTGTCCGCGTATCGTGGCGCTCAGGAGTTTGTGCACCGCAAGACAGCGGCGTGCAGTTTTCAGGGTCCAGCTACCGTTGGACATTCGGTCTGTGAGAACGAGTTGTGTAGCAAGTGTGCATGTTGTGTGTGGTGAGTGCTATGGCTGCTATGGAAGCAATGGTGAAGGCTTGCCTTCTGTTGTCCTTGATGCTGCCTGCAGCTGCGCAGCGTTTCGCTTCCTTCGATGCAGCTACAGCCTCGAGCGTCTATTCTTCTAAGACATTCGGGGCCGAGCTTGCAACCACGGAGTCTTCCGGGTATTGGTGCAGCGCGGGGAACCACGAGCCGGGCCAGACCGTGTCCTGGACTGGCACTTTCAGATCGCGGAGACAGCTGCTTGGCCTGACTTTGCGATGGAGCTATGCTCCAGGAGAGATCAAGGTGCTGACTAGCGCAGACGGTGGCAACCTTCAGGAGAGTGTCGGCTGGAGCAAGCTCTCGAGATCGGAGCCCAGCTTCGAGGACACTGTCTTGTTCCCGGAGCCAGTGGCTGCGAAAGCTGTCAAAGTGTTAATGCGCGGCGCAAAGCCTTGGGGATACTTCGGGCTGTCCAATGCAGTTGCGATGTCGGGGCCATCCGCTTACATGCTCGTGAGCGGTGCTCCAGCAGCCCAAGAGCAATGCCTTGTCGCAGCTGGCGGTGGTGTGGAAGCAAAGCCCTGCGTCGATGCCGTTGTGGCTGGCACAGGTGCTGAGGTGTTCTCCAGCAGTGCGGAAGGGCAGCTACAGGTGTTGGGCGGAAGTTGCTTGGGAGTTGTGGCCGGCAAGGTGTCTTTGGTCGAATGCCAAGAAGGGCAAGCAAGTTGGATAGTCAGCCAGGACGGGCAAGTCAAGCAAGGCAACACCTGCTTGGTGGTGGCTGGATCGAAGGTTGCAGCCGCTGACTGCGATGATGCCTCCAGCACGGGTGGCGACAAATTCTTCCAGGTGACAGTTCCAGAGCATGACCCCGCGGCTGTGCTTGCGGTGCAGGAGGTGGGAACGCTGTTGCGTGCTAGCGTGGAAAGGCAGCGAAGTTTGGTGGAGTCCCTGCAGCATCTCGCTCCAAGGCTTGGGTCTTGCAGGCCTGTGAGCCTGGTCACAAGCAAGACTTGGCCAGCCTTCGTGCAGTTCGGCAGAGTCGGGTCATCTGCTGGGCGTGCAGCGCTCGACGAGTCACTGCCGGTCAAGGTCGCTGACACGTTTGGTCCTGGCAGGGCAGCGCTAGCGTCAGTGCTTGCGGCGTCCTCGGACATTCTCAAGCTTGTTGCTTCCAAGGTATAGGCCTGCTGTGTTCTGGTCATCCCCTGCCAGGCCACTCGAAGCAAGTGCCCGCGTGCAGAGCACCAGCTTCAGCTGCAACGTGCCCCAGGAGGCTGCGGCAATGATGCTGCGTCAGTAGACTAAGTAGATTACGAGACTGACGACGTTGCTTGAGAATCCTTGCTCTGCCTGCCTTCTTGCGCAAGCCGGCCAAGACGTGTAAAGAGACCTGGTTCAACTGCTGCGGGGGTTGCTACTGCTATCTGCCACTCGTGCCGACGTAAGCCGTATAGATCCATTTGTAGGTTCTCGTTTCTCAGTTGCAGCTCTTGAACGTCTGCAGAGTCTGCAGCCCTTCTCATTTCCAGGTCAGGTGTGCCCTGGTCACTGGCCCGTACTGTGACGTAAACCCTTTCTATCTATAGCCAACACATCTTGCGCGTGCAGCTGCAGCAGAGAGAAGTGTTGGTTGTGGGTCGACCTGGAGGTCAACTGCTGCTGGAGTGTTCCGATCTTCAGTGTTGCGTGCTCACCGTTGCGCATGCTGTGCTTAGCAGGCAGGGGGTGGCAATTGCGTGGTTGATGTTGCTGGGGGAGACGTGGCTATGTATGAGAGCCTTTGCAGGGTGTGTGCCTGGTGCCAGATTTGCCCATGTTTGATTGTGAATTGAGGTTGAAATGTCTGTGTGCGGTGCCAGCGCTGCAGGTTGCCTTGTTTAGCGTTACATGGGCGTGGTGGTCCTGGGTCGTTGCTTCCCCCTAGACAATTGTGCTCAAAACCTCTATAATGAAGGTGGCAGTCCACGTGACTCTGTTCTGTGTCAGAGTCCTTGTTCAATGGCGCATCGCTGGTAGAACAAAGTCAGAGGGCATGTGACGACTGCGCGTGAGTGTGGAGCACAAGTAGAGACGAGTCGACTGGTCTTGCGCGGGAGCCACTTCACAACAG